CCCTTTCATTTCCTCCTCTGCTTATATGTAACCCAATCCTGGGTTACTAATGGACAATTTTTATTGTCCCCTGTGTAAGGGTTTTTGTTTTGTTTTGTTTTTTTTTTTGACTTAGCATCTCAACCAGGTAAAATGTGTGACATATTCTTTTTTTGTACTACCTCCTGCTGACTTTGTGGTGTCATAGTCAGGGGCCCAAGTAGCCTGAAATGCTAGTCAAAAGCAGTGGAGTATTTATCAGTAGCATCTTGTTGGCAGATTCTGTTGAAGAAACAGCGAGTGTTCATATCGGCTCGACTGGTTTATATCCATAGCAAATCTAGAGCTCCTAGTCATTATGAGCAGGCTGTAGTAAGCAACTGATGCTCAGATGTGTCTGCCAGAAGTGGAAACCATAATGGAAATCTGTTGGAGACATGTTTCAATTGGGAACAGAAGTTAAAACTTATATACTTAATCAGAAATTTTAGGTCCATAGTTTTAGTGATCAGGAAGGGCAGGAGACTCAAGACAAGGAGAGAAAATCCCTTCCTCAGGAACAGACAGGTGGGATATCAAAAAGCTCTACTTATCTGGAGTTCTTTTGACCTGTGAGAAGTAGATTCAAGCTTTATGACTTTTGATCCTCTGAAGCCTATATGGACTTTAGTATACAAAAGATCTTAAAAGTTTTAGACATACATCAGTATTATCAATCTGTACCAAAATCTACATTGTAAAAAAGCAGATATCAGGTATCCGTAAAGCAGCAGAAACAGACTCATACCTTTGAGTCCTAGTTAAAACTACAGGTTGACTTAGAAAGCTTTAACAGTTTTGTTTTGTTCTCAGAGTCAGGTGTCAATTGGACAGAGATGTTTTTAGCCTGATGAAAAGCCCTTTAAGTTAATATTTATATGGTAACCAACATAAATATAAAAACCTTGAGTTTATGACTGAACAAAAGGTAGTCACTATTTTATCAGCTTATCAGAACTTTATTAAATTAGCTATTAAATTGGCTATAGTTTAACCATTAATATTATCAGAGATCTGAGAAGGATGAATTTTAAACAGTTTCTGAATCTATTAAAATGACAGGGTCCAGTAAATATACAATTAGCCACACCCAAGTCTCCATTAGCAGGTAGAAATATCAAATAACAGCATCACTATTTTCCAGGACTATAAGGTCAGAATTTTTCTCTCTGTGCAAGAAACATATGGAGAACACTGACCCCATTTTGTCTAGGCAAAATATGTACGATCAATTTTCCAATGTCCTGTTGCTTGTTCACAATTTGGGCCAGGTCCTGGCAGCATGTGTGCTTTGAGCATCTTGCCCCCTGGTCAGCATTGTGTAGACATCGCGGTGTCCTTTAATCTTCTTTGGAGATGTTGAGTCACTATCAGGAAATGGAATTTTCTGAAATGATAAGTTTTTACTTAATATTTTAAATGTCATATTCTGTAGATCTCTTGAAGCATTAAGAGTGTTGTCTAGGTAAATCTGGATAGACAATTTTGTTTTTAGTCATTTGTTTTAAGCTTAACCTTTGAAAACACATATAGGAGACTGAGTAATGTTTATCCCTATTATAATTTTTTCTTTACTTATTATAACTTCAGTGACAGTATAGGATCTGTCTCGAGAACTAGATTCAAACTGAGAAGATTTGGAAGGATGTTTTATTTAGATCGTCCACCTGACTGTAACTTGATTTATCTTAACAAACAGAAAGGACATTTAAAGAGACAGTGTAATTTAAAAGTGTCAGTGACAAGAATATAGATCCTTTTCAGATGGAACAAACAGGCAATTGCATGCAATATGTGCTGTACCAGGCCCTGACAAGGTGTGACATTCTACAAAAAAGCCATGTATAACAGAGCCAGTGAAAGAAGAAAACTATCACTCACCAAAATAAAAGGGAAAAAGGTAAATGAACTATGTCCAGGAGCAGAGTTTCTTGGCAGAAGCTGACTACATTGACCTTCTCTCTAGGCGGAGGGATGGGGGTAACTTACAGAGTATAAACACAAAATATCTTTTATGTCCTTAAAACCATTATCACCGGCGTGACTATTAAATCATAAAGTTTATATAAATTGTTTCAGAACAGAAATCTCTAATTAACGGAGTTGATTTTATTGTTTCTTAAAAGGGGGAAGGCACAAGTCAGAAATAGGAGTTTCTTGCTCTACTAACTGAGGTACACTCCAAGTCCCATATCTCTTTTGTCAGTGATTGGCCATGCATGAAAGACTGGTAAAATGTAGTTACTTTTTTCTGGTACAAGTTATGTGAAAAAGTTTAAGCAACCACACATCTGATACAGAACCTATGTAAAACTTAACAGTGACATAAATAAATGATTCAAGTAAAAAATCAGCAAAAGACATGAAAAGACATCTTATTACTAAGGACATATAGATGGCAACTTTATGTTAACCCATTAAAACCTGCACCTTGGCCATTTTGCTTGAATTGGCTGTTAGCTTCCCAGGTGCAGCATAGAAAGACTTTGTACAGGCACCAGAAGAGTACTGGTCTACAGCCAGCAGCTAGGGTGATCTCTCTTTTATGGGAGCTACCGTGTGTAGTTGCCATAAATGACTATTATTTTTTTATTTTTTTGAGGAAGTAAAAGTATAAAGTATGCAGAATAGATGGAAAGGGGAGCAGTGTTGGTGAACACACATTGTCATTGACAGCCAGTGTTCTTGAAAGAATAACATTTTTCCCAAGTGTTTTAGTCATGATCCCAGATTCCCTGTTGTATGTCCTTTTAATGGGTTAGGTAGAGAACAAGAGAGGAGGAGGGTATCTGTACCAAGTAAGGTCTCCTCCCAGTCAGGTCCCTATGGTCAGTATCATCAAGACAAGAAAAGACAAACAAAGGAACAAATAAACACAGCACTTAGAGAAATCAAAGGGTCCCATCTTTAAAAAATTGCAGGTTTCAGATTCATAGTTGGGAGGTAAAATCACCAGTAACTACTCAGATTCAGATAGTGTATTAATTAGCCAGATTTTTTCCCAAATTCAGATTCAGATGGTGGGATTCCCGCCCAGACAAAAACCAATAAGCAGAGACGTCTTTTAGCTCCTCCATGTCTGCCAAGATCTTCTTGATCTGTTTCTGACAATTTCAGATTGATGTGGGTGAACCAGAAACAGACATATAAAAATCACAAATATGTAAAATTACAAAACTGGCACAGATTCAGTACATAGAACTTGCTAGCCCCCACAACAAATAACACAGGAGCAAACAAACACAGAATATTTACCTGTCAGGTTGGCAACTTAAACTTTTAGGGATCTTTGGGTCCCCTGGGATCCCAGACAAGCCCCCAAATGTTGTGCACAAGTTGAAAAGTCCCCAGAGACCACCAGAAAGACAGACCAATAAACTGCAACAGCAAGTTTCAATGATTGTTCATGCACCCATAATAGGGACCCCTTCTGGGTAGCTGTAACAGCATACTCCAGATGGAGTGAAGTTCCCTGTCTTTACTGTTGGGTTTTATAGATAAAAGAGGTTACAGAATTACGTCAGTAGGTCCAAGTTGGTTTCTGGTTGGTTGATATTTGGCAACACTTAGGAGCATTTCTCAAAGTCATATTTTGGCATGAAATACCTGTGTACCACTTATTTTCATTGGTCAGTGCTGAGGGGGAACATTCTGTGGTTTCTATGGCATTGTGTTTTTACTTGCAGGTGGCCTGCTGCACATAGATACCAATAGTTTTCAGAACTGTATCCTGGAGACTAGAGGGGTGGTTTTGGTCCCCCTTAGAGTTTCTTTTGTGGCCAAATATTTTCCAGCATCCAAGCATCTAGAAGGCTGGGGAGTGGCTCGAGTTTGTTTGTGTTCTGTTTTGGTCCTAGGCTCTGGGAGGTCAGAGGATCTGCAGTTTCCTTGTATCAGAGGCCTATCTGTGTCTGGTCCCTTTATTTCTAATTTATTACAAGTGAAGCCCTTGAGTTTAGCTTACCCTTTCACGCATCACACACCCATCTTCTTTATTGACTCATGGGTTCTGTGTTAGATCAAGGAAATCAATATGGTTATGACCCAAGTTCAACTCATCCCAGTGTTTGTTGGATTCCCTCAACCCAAACCCATTTTCTGTAGTGACAGACAGGTTCTTTTTTGTGTTAAGGAAGCCATTGTGAATTTGAACATAGTTCAACTCTTTCCAGAAACTCCCTGTTCTTTCTATGGTTCCTGTTTCACACCCCTTCCCTCAAATGTAGAGAACTCCTTCAGTCATTTCATCTTGGAATTCATTTGTCCTCACTGCTCTCTATTCCTCTCTCTATGAGTTCTTTAGATCTCCCCAGATCACCCTCAATTGCATCGTTCTTGCTCTTATTCTGGTCCTTTCTCTGCCTGTGAATATAGGATTTTTTTTAAAGATGACATTAGGAGGCTACAGAAATTGCTTTGTGTTTAAGAGCACTTTCTACTCTCACAGAGGACCTGAGTTTGTTTCCCAACATCCATGTCCACTGACTCACAACCACCTGAAACTCCAGCTCTGAGGGACCTGACTCCTCTTGCTTTTGTTGTCAGCTGTACCCAATACACACACCCTGCCCCCCACCCATATACTTGAAGACAAGTTGCCTTCCTTACAATAATCAAAACAAATCTAATTTCCCCTAATTCAGAGTCGATGCTTGTGCCCCTCTCTGACCAGTTTTTTCTATCCCCGTTAGTGTCAAGACCTCACTCTGTTGTCTCTCACTCATTTCCCAATTGGATGTTTCTCCATCAAATTTCATCCCTCCCCCAGAGTGTCTACCCCTCTGTGGCCCATCTCCACTGCTGCCTGAACAGCCATGTTGTCTCCCCCAGCCAACTTCCAGAGCAGAGCAGACAGGCTATGTCCTGTTGCATTTGTAGCATATTGTGACACTTGATATACTGATCCCACCCTCAGCTGACACCTTTCTTCTTTGATTGGCCCATCCACCAGACACACCCAATTAATTCCATTCAACAACAAATCATGGACACAAATTTTTATTTTTATGGCAAAACACATTCCAGTGGAAAATACACCAGGGTTATCAGAGACCCGTAGGTGTCTGATATTGCAGGAAAATTATCCCCCCTCCCCCAAAAAATTCTATTCATTATATGTCTGCCTCCCCATACTTGGTGAATTTTGCTTTAACTGATCCTTTTCACCAAATCATAGACGTAGATATGGGTGTCCTCATCAAACTTGATGAAATGGACGGAAGGTATGGCTGGAAGTTGGTAGATGACCTTGCCCATCTTTTTGGTTCCGTCGCCTTGGGTGTACTGTACAGCACTACCTGTAAAGGCACCACCTCCTACTTCTGACTTCACCTCTGTTGGAGAAACATCTGTTAAGATGCGGAGGTTACCGTCAATGTAGTCATCCAGGAGCTGGTAAACGTACAAGATCGGATCTTTCTCGTAGGTAACGTAGAACCAGGTCTTCATGATGGGCACTTGGGCCAGGACCACCCCCCTCCACCCATCCTTGGAGCCATTTTTGCCCTCAAATTTGTGCTCCACTGCTTTGCCAACTAAGGTGTTTTCCAGGTAGTTGTCTGTCTCTTGAGGAAATGACACTTTATTAGGCAGGATCTTAAGCTTTGAAATCCTTTCGTCATTTTGGAGCTCCAGGCAGTAGACACAATCGATCCCATCGTACTTCACCCAATAGAGAGAGGGATTTGTTGGCAGTTGGTCTAGAACGATGGCCTTCCACTGGGTGACTGGCTCATTGCCTTCTTTCCATTCGTGAGAAATTCTGCATCCGATAATGTTACTGAGGGCCTGAGGAGGCCTGGCCCTTTTCTGCTTCCGGAGGGATGGCATGTCTGTCTCACTCAGAGACATCGTGGCCATGGAAGCAGACCTAGTGCGGCTGGCCACAGCACTCCTGGTCCACTTTCTTGTGGCGATCGTTCTGTTCTTGGGCTTCATGCTTGCCCACTATGTGGGTTTGAAGAGCCCACGGGCTCACACCAGAGAGAACACAGGTGCCTCTGCCATACGAGTGCCTGCAAGAACAAGAGGGGAGGATGCTGGGCTGAGGACTCATCTAGAAGAACTTCCGGGCAGGTGAAGAAGGCGGGGCTGAACCGGTTTAGTCTTAATGAATTAATAGGGAAATTAGGAAAGGATTCTTTACAGCTCAGAATAACAGTCTCAGAGACACGTTGTTTCTGCTCGGAGGCAGTGTACCTCTGCTGCGGAACTTCTCCCTAACTGGCTCGGTCACTGGGCAGGAGTGGGCAGTAGGGATGGGATGGGGTATGTCTGTTTCCTAAGTAAGTGGAACCCTAGCAGGATCATCAAGGCACCAGTAGGCTGGCCACACCTCTCCTTTACCCTGAAGCTGTGAGCTTGTTGGCCGCACACCCCCCTCCACATACCTAGGGACGCGGCACCCCTGTTCCCTGGCCCTCTGTATTGTGTCTCTTGTTCCTTCCCCCGGTTTATTATATAAAGACGTTCAGAGTTTCTCATTATAGCAGTGTTACAGCGAGCCCCTCTTTAGCGAGAAACTCATTTGTATAGGCAACAGCAGCCAATTAAAAATAATTAGTATCTTCTAAAACACATAGGTACCAAGAGAAGCACGGACATTGTATAGAACGATGAATTTGATATTGTTATGAACTTGGAAGAATGGCTTGCCTAGTGCATCCCCGTAGCTACCAAGGAGGGAGGCCGTAACAACGTACATGGTAGATTCACAAGGGGTTTGAAGGTACTACAGAGGTCCCAGTTACTTCCAGACCATACTTACCCAAAGAGAATGCCCTAATTGTCCAGATTCTGTCTCCTGAAAACGATCAGGCACCAAAAGTCTGTTGGACAGCTGCGAGGTTCAGGAGCTGACCTGCTTCCTCGGGCGACTGAGAAGAAGTGAGCCCACCTTCCAGAGAATCTCTAACCCGTAGTGATGTAGATGCTCAAACTCCGCCCACTGCTCTGTGACATCACGAAATTCTGCTTAAGTCATACAACACCTCATAGGCCTGTTTCTTCCTTAGCTCCACACAAAAATGTCCAGCATCTAACCCCTAAAAGCTGCTCCTCGAGCCCCCTGTACTGAGACCCAAATAAATTCCCCACCAAAACGTTCTGATGACTTTCTCGAGTCACATTCTTTCCAAGCAAGTCACTCCCTGTGTTTTCTTTTCTTTCTGAAATAGTTTCTGGTGTCTTAGTCACCAACACACTTGAAGGTTTTCTTTAAGCCATTCTGCATATCAGAAATGTTGCCAGTTTTTCAGGGGCTGCCCCCTGTATAACACATGAAAATTAGCTGTATCAAAATCCCTAGTTAGAGGAGGGCTATTTTTATTGAAACAAAGTTGGAATTTACAGGTTTAAATACCTTGTATTGAAGTTAATGGCAATCATGAATTATGGATAATTTGCATAGAGTGAGGAAAAATTAGGTTGTGGCCCTGCTTCTAAAGTTGAGGTAACTGCATTGCAAATCCTATATTGCCCAGTCATATATTAAACGTCTTGAAAATTCACCAGTACTTCTGTTTACAAGGAATTTATTAGATCAAATGCCGCAAAACAGGATGAAATAGATGAGGTAATTCAATTTTTGAATTTTTGAAATATGGGAAGTGAGAATACAGGGTATTGGCAAATACTAAACTGACTTGCAAATTATAGAGGGTACTTTAATGCCACATAGTTCTTCAGAACTTCAAAATGATCCTTCCCAGCGTTGTCCTTCTCTCCCCAGTATACCCTGCCCATCCTCTCCCTACCCAATCCATTCTACTTTAGTGTCTTAATTCGGAGTTCACCAACTTAGGGCAACTTTTGAAGTCTGGCCACTTTTCTGAGTGTAACTTCTCCTTTTCTTCAGTCTCTCTCTCTGTTCTGAGCAAGTTTCCCATCATATGGTGAGTTTTACTCTTTGTCTGCCCTTCTGCAGCCTCTTGCCATTATGTAAGTCAACCCTGTGGCTGACCTCAATGTGGTTTCAACTCAAATGTCATTTTTATCTCATCCCCCACCTTCATCTCCCCCTAGAGGCACCTACTGAGATTTTTATCATGGGGAATTTTTAAAAGCTAATAAAATTGCTTTGCAGAGAGTGCACACATGTGCATGGGCGTGCACGCACACACGCAGACACTCACACAGACACACACCATGACTGAAAATATCTAACAACAGTTAAGAAACCCAGGGAGTTTTCAATTTATGAAGGCAAAATAGCCAGTAATTGCAAGAAATATATGCTCATCATAGTCATAGTCACCAACTCTGGAGGACAGGGTATATCTCATTTTACACTTCCAGGTCCTCATCTGTTGCTGAGGAAAACTCAAGGCAGGAACTGAAGTATAGAACACTCAGGGTTGCTTCTTACTGGTTTGTAACCCAGGCTCACTCAGCTTTCTTTTCATACAACCCAGGATCACCTGCCTAGGGGGTGACTCTGCCCATAGCGGACTAGAAACTCCCACATCCACCATCATAAAACATAATTCCTCACACATGCAGCTACAGGCTAATGTAATGGAGGCAATTCTTCCTTTGAGGCTTCTTCTTTCCAGGTGTCTCTAGGTTGTGTCAGGTTGACCATAAAAATTAATTAGAACCCCTGTTGGGAGCCAAAAGTAGACACTACCTACGATAGATGTAGTCATATATAATTTATAATTTATTAAAACTTGACTGAGGATTCAGAAAAGTAAAGTCAGCCTCAAGACACAGAGATCAAACAGTGGTGATACGCACCTCTTATCCCAGCAGCCAGAAGCTCGGAGGTGGTAGTACATACTTTTTCTCCTAGGACACAGGATTAAGAGATAGATGGATCTCTGTGAGTCCAAAGCCACCCAGATCTACACAAGATTGTGTTAGTCTCAAAGAGAATTATGACTCATAACTTTATTCCCAGCATTAGATGTGTTTAAGAGACAGGAGCAAGGAGTCAGTATGAGTTCTCTAGTAGTCGTTCTCCAGGTACACTGAGGAGAGGCAGTAGGTTGAGACTTGGTGAAGAGCTTGTGTGTGGATCAGCCCTTTTAGTGTGAGGTAGAGGTAAGAAGCTAGTGTTCAGCTGTCTTGTTTCTCTGATAGTATTTTGATTTAGAACCCCAATATCAACCTCTGTGTCATTTACTTATTGTGTTGCAATAGACGAGCCATGGAGTAACTTAAGCTGCCAATCACTGGATGAATGCCTAAATAAAATAAGATATATATATATATATTCGTATATTTGTCATCTGTGGGTAACAGTGTAGGGTGCTGTTCTCAGAAAATGGATGGAACAGGAAAGTGTATTCTGTGACCTAAAACAAGTCAAATTCAAAGGACATATATGAAACTTAGATTTTAATAAAGGATATGAGATAAAAGGGAGTATTTAGAAAGAGGAAGGGGACCAGTGGGCTGGTGTTTGGGTGGAACAAGAGGATAACAGGGAGGATAAAGGTGATCAAAGTGCAGTATATACCTGACAAAAGTCATAACAAATTCCGTTAATTTCTACGTTTAATGTGCTGTACTGTAAAGGAATAGAATCTAAATAATGTTTTGATTAAATTAAGGATTTATAGTTTAGAGATACTTTAAAATTTATGCATATTTTTATTCCCACAGATGACTATTACTATTTTGAGCTTGATACAGGTGACAGGACATGGCATGTTGGCTCAGTCTTTGAACAGTTTTAATCAATGTAGAACTCACATCTTTCTGTGAGCTGCCAGGATACTATGGGGGAGGAAGTAGCTAGATATCTTAAGGGTACAAGAGGTAGGAAGAAAATGCTCTCACCACTGCAGCTGTCTAAATCTTCACCATTCACTGTGATCTGAGTATGTTTCTTCAAAATCAATTTTCTGAAGATTTAAATCCCCAGTATAACCATATTTGGGAGGAACTGATTAGGTCAAGAATGTCTTTATCTAAAAATACAATTAATGTTGTTAGCCTGGGGGAAAGTTCAATTATGAGAGGGAGGTTGACTGTCTTGCCTCTTTTCCCCACTGGTTGTCTTCTGCAATGACAACATCCAGAGAGAATGTCTCCCTCTGTTAATGGTCTCTTGATCTTGGGCTCACAGCTTCATGAGCCAAGAATCATGCAAACCAGCTTCATTACATACTACCCAATCTGTGTTATTCTGCTTTTCCCATACAACATGAGTGATAATGCCCCCAAATCCTGACCAGCCAGGTCATAGGGTAGGGTGAAGCAAATCTGGCAGAGTGAATTAGGTTGTTATTGCTGACTGGAGATGATGTGGACTCAGTGTTATCATGTGGGCTCTAATTGAGAGAAGGTAGCAGAGGGCAAGTGTGTAGGTCAGAGAGCTGCAGCCTGGACAGACTCATCCATTTACTGTTGGCCTCTGAAATGGAAGGGCCCAGTAGGCAAAGCAAAAGTTAATAAAACCACAGATCTATACCATGGTCTAGGAAGCGATCCAGCCATCATTTTTTGGTAGTGGCACCCTTTTCAGACTCCTCACTTTCAAGAGTATAAAAGAAAACTCTACTGCTTTAATCTAATACAGCAGTGACAGTCAACTGACATTGTATAAAATTGTGGACACAGATGAGAAGCCCATGAAGAAGCCTGATGTAGGAAGATCCTTGGCCTCCAAGGCCTAGAGATTCTCTTCTGACCAGAAACCCTGGCTTACCCATCTACACTGATAAGGACATCCCAATATATTCAGGCCCTTGAAAATCATGCCTTCCAGTCTGGAGGAATAAACACTTTTACTCAGTTAGACAAATCCAGATAAATAAAAACACAACCGGAAAGTTATAAAACTGAAACAGGCCAAGACATGCTAAACCCTAGCATGATACCTGCATGCAGAATGAAAAAAAAACCTTAGAAAAGACCAGGACTGGGGGCCCGCTCCCGGCTTCCAGAAGAGCCGCCCACACAGGAAGGAGATCAGCCCCTCCAAGACCCCAACCCAGCGAGACCAGCTTCAGGGAGCCCAGCTTCAGGAAAGACATCAACCCATCCAAGACCCCAACCCCAGGGAGTCCAGCTTCAGCATCCCCAGCTTCAGCTGCAGTAAGGAAGGAGACCAGTGGAGACGGAAAGACCCCACCAGCACCCACTGGAAGAAGAGATGGGAAGAAGACAGAATAAGAGATCACTCAGCAATAGAAACACCAACATGACCCCACCAGAATCCAGGGATCCAACACCAGCAAGAACTGAAAAGCACTACATAGAGGAAGAAGAGGAGACAGACCTTAAAAATTATTTCATGAAGATGATGGAGACCCTCAAAGAAGAAACGAGGAAATCGCTTAAAGAAATAGAAGAAAAAACAAACAAAAAAATCCATGAAATGGGGGAAAAATTCAAGAAATAAACAAATCTCTCAAAGAATCTAAAGAGCACCAAGAAAAATCAACCAAGAAAATTAAGGATAAACAGCTCAAACAGTTGAAGGATTGAAAGCTGAAATAGAAACGATAAAGAAAACACAGAATGAAGGGATGCTGGAAATAGAAAAGCTCGGTAAACGGTCTGGAACTACAGATGCAAGTATCACCAATAGAATACAAGAGATAGAAGAGAGAATCTCAGGTGTTGAAGACTCATTAGAGGATATAGAGTCGTCAACCAAAGAAAATCTCAAAACCAACAAATCCTTAACACAAAATATCCAGGAAATATGGGACACCGTGAAGAAGCCAAACCTGAGAATAATAGGTATAGAAGAAGGTGAAGAAATTCAACTTAAAGGTACAGAAAACATATTCAACAAAATCATAGAAGAAAACTTCCCTAACCTAAAGAAAGATATGCCTATGAAAGTACAAGAATCATACAGAACACCAAATAGGCTTGACCAGAAAAAGAAGTCACCTCGCCATATAATAATCAAAACATCAAACCTACAGTGTAAAGA